AAGTACTGAGCCACCCCACCGCGTCAAGGTGTACCCGTGGGGGGTTGCATTATATAAATTTATAATATAATATAATTTATATATAAGAAAGAGAAAGAGAGAAATTTATATTATATATAATTTTATATAATTTGTGTGTGGAATCGATTATATCATTCAATAATGTAATTTGACTCATTATAGCGTTTCCGATTTTTACGTCATGTACGAAATAAGTATGTAAGCATTTAATTAAAATAAAAATTTTTTTTCTCACTATAATGTCTACTATATGAATATTATTGAATAAAAGATTAGGGACACGGCAATCATTTTCTTTAAAAAATTAGAATCTAATTCACAGAGATGTTAGAATAATAAATAACATTGAAAAAATTATATAATATTTATATTGCATATATTATATATAATAATTATTATTACAATTGCTGCTCCTTAGATTTGCAACAGCGTTCATATTAACACATAACTGCTTAATTCTTTTTCTTATTATTTATTTCCGTTCCTATATACGAAATGTTGACCGAAAGATAAAAGCAGTCTGGATAAGAAAGCTATCTAATTGTATATATAAAACATACTATCTTAAACTGAATCAATGAAAATTTTTATTAAAAATTTTTTACACAACGTATCTCTCATTTAAGTAAGTATTGTGTCTTTTTATAACATTTTTTGCGAATTATTTATATAAAACAATAAATGTGTTTTTAAAATCTGCAAATAATTTTTTAGAAGATATAGTTAAAATGTTTTAAATATATTATTTTCTAAATGCAAATCGAAATTATCAATGAATTAATGTACGTTAATTACAACAATATTTTATAGCTGAAAAACAAAAGAATGTTGCGTTATATGTTAGATGATAAATAAGAATAAATTCGAAAAAGTGAAAAAAGAACAGGCAATATATCTAAAAGTAACATGAATGATAAATAATTTATAAATGACTTACATTTTATATTTCGTTGCTCCGTATATATTGTTCGATGTGCTTTTCTCCCTTTTTTTTCTTTTTCGTCCTTTGCTATTTCGTAGCACTCACATTTGCTTCCGAAAATAATAATAATAAATTATATATGGAACAATCGCAAGACACTTTGCACGACACTCTCGATCGCGGAATAATTACATGAGAAACGCACTTTTTAACATATCGTAAGAAACAGAAGACATGAGAGAAGTACTATTTTTGTTTGATATTTATATAAAGTTTCAAATTCATGCACTACTCATTGGCTGCGTTCAGCAGGAAAAGCTGCTTTGCAACTGTTAAAATTCGTGAATCTGATTGGTGTATACTTTTAGATTTAGTCAAAATTAAGAGCATATATCAATTAGGCTCACGAATTTTACAACCGTTGTAAAGCAGCTTTTGCCGCTGAACGCAGCCATTACAAATGCTCCGTTTTATTAATATTATATTAACACGAATTATAAAATCGAAAGATTAATCTAATTGAAAACCATGATAATCGTCCAATTAATAATAAATTCGATAATATACGAAGAGTATCGTTTCGCACTACTATCTTGTTCGAGTGTTGCCGTGTGAATGATACCAAGACCACGGAATGTAAACATTAGCGCGCTATCAAGGTATACGACGTCAAGGCCAAACATTGTGTTATTGTCTGTTCGAAATATTTTACGTTTTTTGACAAATATATACGCGAAATATTTTAAAGTATAGAAATTTAGATTTTAAATAATATAGATTAATTATATGATTATTTATTGAAGGATCATTTTCATTATGTTAAATATATATTTATATTTATGATTCGATCGTTTTACTGCACGATCTCAATCTGAATTACATTTAAATAATCGAAAAATAGATAAAGCGTCACGAATGATTTATATTTGACCAGAGCCAGATTTAATGGGGGGCAACAGGGGCTGAAGGGCCTCCACAAGAGGGAGAGGCCTTTACAACACAAATTTTTGGGTAAAATTTCCTATCAAAAGGTATACAACACTTACAAGGTCTATGTATATTGCTTGACCTTGTTATTTTACAATAATAAATTATTTAAACAACGTAAAAATTTCTATTTGATTTTGGTTTAAAAATGGTTCGGGGTATCCATCTTTTCCTTGCCTCAGGGCCTCCACATCTTTAAATCGGCCCTGTATATGTTTATATATGAAGATAAAACTTCACATTTTCATATTTCTTTTTCTGTATTTAATATATTTGCGAAATTGAAAAATGTAGGCTTCTATTATCTTCTTTTTGTCTGTCTTAATAGTATCATACAATATTATTGACACTATTAAAAAGGCGTTAATATGATGAGCTACAATGACAATAACTTTCATTGTAGTTAAAAATTGCTAACTATTTACTTTAATTTTAATTTCATTCAAAATAATAATCAAGAATAAACAGGAATAATAAAAAAAATTTTGATATTAATTACAGGCATTTTTAAATTAAACCCTGAATCAAAAATACATTATATTAGATATTTTTAAATAAAAATGTCATTTAAGAGAGAGGGAGAGAGAGACACACATATTATTAATAAATTTCTATTTGCAAATGATGCCTCTAATAATGAAAACAGAAATTCTCTGTAAGTTCGATGACCAGGCAAAAAGGTCCACCATGTAGCAAAAATACATATCCAGATGTTGATCTTCTTTCTTTTAATTCACCGGCATAGTCAAAATCACAAAATCCAATCAGCTCATCATGACTTTCCATGAAAATATGACATACCAATCGTGCCTTTAAAATATTTCATAACACGCTTTGCCTTCCAATGATGTTCCCCTGGATTATTTGAGAATCGAGTGTATTTACAATATATTAAATGTCGGGTCTCTCTCTCTCTCTCCATATCGTGGCGATGTAATTTAAACATTCGACTGCTTCTCAATAAGGAAAACATTTCTCTTTACTTTCTTCTTTATCGAGTTTAGTCAATTGTATAGAAATATCCATCGAAGACATTGCAGATTTGCAGCCTTCCATACCAAAACAAGGCAGCATTCGAGAGAAGTATCCTCGTTGGTTAATGTAGAGCGTTTTTTCTTGTCGATTTCGAGTTATTTCTATTCCGACATAACATGTTAGTTCATGACATGTAACTTCAAATTCCGAAAACAGCGAAGACATAAAAATATTCAATATTTCCTTCTTTCTTTAATCTCATAAAGAAGAAAACCTTACGATAATCAGCTGCTTCGTCTTTTTGTGTCAAAAAGTACTTACACTTGTTCCATGATGTAACTGCAATATAACACACATCTATATGAAAGCGTTAACTGGATAAACATTCACGTTTTCCTCGAACGGGATATAGACTGATTGTTTGCTTTCCTAAGTAACAAGAATTATAATCGTCTCTTTTCTTTAGAATTACTTCAAGATCATCAACGAGATTATTTCTTTACATTGCTCGTATTACATTGTCATTAATATGATCAAGATGCTGATGCCATAATTCAATTGATTGAATTTTTACAGAAGCTGATGATGGCACGAATAAAAGGTATGTACTGATTGTTGACTCTTTTGCCACCTAGTATCGTCTTCCGTCCATCCATTAGTCGCATGATTCTATTTTCATGGTAGAATCCTTAATCTTTCGTTTTTTCTCAAAACGTTGTTGAGAAAAATTCACTATTCATATTTTCGCAATAATATACGTATTCCCACATTTGTTTCTTCCACTCTCTGCCATTAACCGATTTCTCGATTTGGATATTACCAACGTGAGTTGCTTTCAATGTTTTGTCATTCAATATAAGTGGCACAGCAATCTTTCAAAGTGATAAAAACCATTCAATATTACCTGTATAAGATGAACGCTCGCACCAGAATCTGCAATGATACATCCTTCATTCCTCAATTTAAAAGCAGATGATGCGGACAATCCTTTTTCAGCTTCTACATTCTCTTATTCTTTTTCGTGAATCTAATTTTTCTAATTTTTTTGGTTTCTCTGATTTTAACCTACAGTTTTGCTTCAGGTGTCCCATTTTGCCACACTTATGACACTTTAAATATCTTTTCAAATTTCTTCATTGCTTGACCGTTTATAGATAGACTGCAACTTAAGCGCTTCATCCGATATATCATTTGATCGTCCTTCAATACCTCTTTCAGCACTAGTAAGCTTCTCCAAGAAAACTTTCAAGGACATCGTATCCGATAAAAACGATCAACTTGTAACAAAACTGTTGAAATTCTTCGGTAAACATTCTAAAATTTTTGCTATTAACAGTTTTTCATTAAATCTATTTCCGAAATCTTCTGATTCTAAGGCTTCAATTTTGCATGCAATAACCTTCAACCCTGCTACAAATGTATTTATCGTATCGTCTAATTTCCATGAATAAACAAAAAACTCACAAAATCCTCCAGTAAAGTATTCAACGTCTTCAGTTCATAACATGCCTTGATTATTTTCATTATGTCTGCTGACGTCTCACAGTCGCATACCTGATTAAATGTTATGTCATCCAAAGTCGATCGAATAACAGACCGTGCCTTGCTGTCCTTCGCCTTCCAGTCATCAATTTTTTTCACATTAGTAACGACATCGTTCTCAGGTCTCACTACTGTTGACTTGATCGTTCTTCCAGTAGTGACTTTGCAAATTCGATAACTTTCAAAGACATCGCGGATTCAATTTTTATGTAGAGATATTCTTATTTTTCTATAATCACACAGCAATAAAATGACCAATAAAATTCTCTATAGTAAATTACAAGTCGTATAAATTAAACTGCAGCAAATTCATTGTTGGAACATATTTCTATATATATTATTTGAAAATATCTTTCCAAAAAATGCATACATAATCTTTTTTTTTTAAATCATAAAATGAATATTTAATTTGATTCAAAATAATGAATCAGCACATTATTACACATTATTAATTTTTTTGCAACTTACGTCAATATACTACGCCATGTTGTTAGAAAAAGCAACAATGAGAAGAAACTATATAAGACAAATGTTAATAATCAATTGCATTATTGGTAGAAATATTTAATGGACAAGATGATAATTTATGCTCTTAGTATATTTAGTATTGTAATATCTGTATTGTGTAGAGCGGAACAATTTACAATTCGTAAGTTTTATTTTTAAAAATTTTTTATATTTTAATATTTATTTTAATGTTTCTTTATATTTTAATGTTTATTTTAGTGTTTAACAAAATAGCAAGAAAGAAAATAGAAAATAATTCTTTATTTTGCACGCGTGACACTCATGACATGATTACATAATAAAATACGTTGCTCTTAAAAGATTTGATTTATATTTTTCTAACTATTTGAATTATTTTATTCTAATCTTATTTTATGTTTTTATGCTGCTAACTATTTTATTCTGTTTTTATTTTTATTTAGCTGTGATCACTTGCAAGCGGAATTCAACTGACTATTCGAGCTGTTTAAAAATCATATTGCAAGAAACATGGCCACGAATACAAGAAGGTGTGTGTGTGTGTGTGTGTGTGTGTGTGTGTGTGTGTGTGTGTGTGTGTGTTTATGTGTACGTATTCCATTCTACAATAATGAATTTTATTATTTTCATTTACATATTTTAAAAATCGAAATGTATGTAAATGGTTAATGTTGTATGACAAATTTTGATGTGATAATATGTATTTATTTGTGATTTTTATCAACATATATGGCGCACTTAATTTATACTTTTTGCATCATTTGATCTTTCTTTAAATATTTTGATTTCTTTAAAGTATTTAAATTATATAATTTTTATGCGTATCATATAATTAATTTATATGTATTATTTATATGTGTATATACATATATACACATATATACATACATATATATGCATACACATACATACACACACACACACACACACACACACACACACACACACACATATATATATAATTATTATAAAATATTGTAATATTACTATTGTGAAATGAATAATGTAGAACATTTATAAATAATAATAAATTAATTAGAGATTTAATAAAATAAATAAAAAAGGTTTGTAGTATTAAAGAACGTTTAATTATTAAAAGCTATAATACTAATTGATATTAATATTATTTATTCATCTTAATAGGACTTCCAGAATTCGATATTCCACGTTTGAAACCACTTAATTATGAAGGCGGCAGAATTGCATTTAATACAAACGAGATACATGGAGAAGGAATCATAATAAATGCCACTGTTTATGGTTTAGAAAATATTAATTTTTTAGATTTGAGGCCACACTTTTTAAATGATGTTTTCCGTTTAGAAATTGACACGCCAATCTCGACTATGTTCATTAATTCTTACGTTAGCGGACGCGCTAATGTATTAGGAATACAAGCACATGGTGCAGGTACAACAAGAAGCTTATTTTAATTTGCATAAAACATAATATATAGGGAACAGGAAACCAATTAGTACATATACTCGCATTTGTAATAACAAAGAATTAATCATATATCAAATTACACAATTGGCGGAATATTAGTATACTTTCTGTTGTCACAATTTTGCTTTGAAATAATTAAGATAATTATAATAGCTGCATAAATTTAATATGTTATTCTTAAATAGATAATTATATATTTCGTAATAATTTTTTAAGTTTTTCAATTATTACATTTGTAATTATTATTATTATTTTACTAGAAAATATTATTAAAAACTATAATATCATTTATATTATACTCTCTCCTCTACATTTTATATAATAGGACAACTTAATGTAACCATAAGTGATAACAGAGCAACAATGGTCATAACAGGGCATGTAAAAAATGATACATGGACAATAGAACATTGTGATTTAATTATGACGATTGGAAGTTTCAAGGCTCAACTCAATGGTTTCTTTGATGGCATTAAAGAGCTTAGTAAGCATTAAATTAAATCAAATATATCCTTTTATTCTTTTACTGCTGTTTCTGATACATCTCCAATTACTTGAGTAAAAAGCTTCTCGAGAAAAAAATTTATATATAATTATATATAATTGTGTCTAATAAGATTTATTTATAATATCATTTATATGTTATAGTATAATTTATATATATCAAAATATGTATAATTTTATATTGAATTATGCAGAAATATATTAGATTTTTTTCCCGAATATTATTATATTTAATATTTTTACATTAATATAGAATTTTTAATTTGATGTGGAATTAGAAATATTTTCATATAATTACATATAAATAACAATAAGATGTACTTATTATATTATTTATACATAATTATATCAAAATATTTCTAATTTCATATTAAATTATGTAAAAATATGAAATATATAATTAGCTATAATTAGATATAATTATATCTACACTATTATATACAATTAGATATAAACTTTATTTTCCCGTTATTTAACTTAATATTTGAGTATATGTATAATGTTTGATAATAATGTTTAATAATAATCTATTTATATACAAATTTCATGAAAAAAGCGTTAATTTATCGTTGATCTTGGTTTGCTATTAATTAAAAATTGATTCATTTTCTTATGTGTATATTTCTAGTTAAAAATAATGTCACATGTTATAAGGCTTTTTAAAATAATGAAAATATTAAAATAACTATATAAATTAAATTTATAAAAAAATAATAAAAACTTTTTTTTCTAAAGGCGGCATTTCTTTAAATATTTTTAAATAAAAATGTCATTTAAGAGAGAGGGAGAGAGAGACACACATATTATTAATAAGTTTCTATTTACAGATGATGTTCTTGAAGAATTTCTAAACGAATATTGGCCACCGATTTATCGAATTATAGGACCAGTAGTATTTAAAGACGTAGCAGACCCATTGGTGACTGATTTAATCAATCGTTTTTTCTCAAAAGTTTCATTCTCGAGAATATTCCCATAATATTTATACAATTGTTACACATTAAGCAAAAATATCAGGCTTTATATAAATATACGTTTAACATTCTAAATATTGAAATTAAAAAATTATTAAGCAAAAATATTTTATTTCTTAATATTACGAATTTTTATATGCATATATGTCATCTTAATTTAAACAATAATGTATTATTATTGATATTTATCTCTATAAATATCAAACCTGACCACTTGTTTTTTAATATACTGTTTTCAAAAATTTAATATTTATATTATATACAATACATATTTTATATTATATTATGTAATATACACATTATAATATAAATGTAATATAAATGTGTTTACAAATTTAAAAAAGATTTTATAAAATTTATATATACAATTTTATAAATATAATAGAAAAAATGTTATATTGTAAAAAATATCTATGATAGAAACATAATATAATATTTACGTGTAATATTTCTTAATATTTCTTCAATAAAAATAATAAAAATGCTATATTGTAAAGTGTATATGATAATGTCAGCTTAATTATTGGCCAGATATGTGTAATCACTGATGACAAAACCAGAAAAACAAGATCGACCGAGAAGATAGTTGATGTGTTGGTGGTGACGAGCAAGAAATGTTAATTGTTAGCAAACCGCGAAAGAAAATGAAACTTAGAATGTAATAAAAAACGCGATCAGAAAAATGAGTTGCAATATCGATCCCTTTATATCCGCAATCTGTGTTTTATTTTTTAAATATATATATAAAATGTATATATATATATATATATATATATATATAATTTATACATAAAATAATCTGACCATTTTATTTACTTTACCACATTATTAATTATTATTTACTTTAATACCTCATTATTAACCAATTGATCTTTATATACAAAATAAATAAAAAATATGATATATAATAATTTTGAATCACTGATTTTTCATCCAATCTTTGAATTATATTATACTTTAAATAATTAATATGTTAACATTATATCTAAAAATATTATATTTAAAAAACCGATTTGAAAGAAAATCTAAGAAAAGAAAAACATATCATATACATTACCACCTATGTCATCGAATTCTTTTTTTACTAATTAGTTAGATATTGAATCATATAGCATGTTAAATATTGAATTAGTTAGATATTGAATCATATAGAACATGCGTTTTTTATAAGATTAAAGTTCACTTTTTGTTTCTAAATTTGTATATTTGAGTAAATCAAAAAAGAAGAATATCGCAATAAATATTTATTATCTATTTTTTATGTTTCTTATTTACCCCCATTAATATCTTTTTGGATTACAATAAAAAAATACGTCAGTAATATGTGACCTACAATAATATTATATAATAATTATATTATATATATTATACATATATTATATATAAATTATATAATTGTATTATAAATAATTTAATAAATTACATAATTATATCATAAATAATATAAACAACAGAAGGATTGTTTTTTAGCCTGAAATTAAAATTAAATTCTAGAAAGGAAATTATTTACATTCTATGAAAAATTAATTATACTTATTTATTAATTCTAGCTATATATATCCAGCTAACTATATATCCTTTAAAAAGATTATTTTTTTTCTTATAAAAATACTAATAAAATTATTATTCTTAAAATATATGTAAAATATATGAATGTATTTTCAATTTGATGCTTGTTACATCACACATATAAATACTATCATAAATCATACATTGTATAAATTAAAATTAAAGTAAAAAATTGATCATTATCATAAAATGAATAATTTTTTGTTACATGTTAATGATATACATTATTTATGATACTAGTTAATAATACCGAAGAGACATTGAAAACAAATAATATAAGAGACTATATAAGAGAAGTGTTACGATTAATCGATCTATTCCTAGGAAGAAGTTTAAATAAACAAGATGATATTCTATATGTTCTTTATATTCAATATTGTAACGTTTGTATTGTGCGCAACGGAATGTAAAGTTGATCCTACGTTTCGTAAGTCTTATATATATATATTAGAAATTCTTTTTATATTGTGTGTGTAATATTATCATAATATAATACGCTTATAATAATATTTATAATATTTATAATATATTATAATATTTTAATAGTATTTATCAAAATAGTGGAAAGTGCAAAAAAAATTGTTATTAACTCTGCGACATACAATATCCATAAAAAATATTTCTTAATAAATGTAATTCATATTTTAATTAATATGTTTGAATTCTCTTTATTCGTCAGTATATAATTTACATATATTACATCTATTATTATTACTTACATAAGTTCTGTTTCTACAAAGCTATAAACCCCTGTGAGCAAAATTCGACCAATTATTTCGACTGTTTAAAAAACTGTGCGGAAGAATTATGGCCACGCATAATTAAAGGTATATATATTTCTTTTTAAAAAGAAAGTAATTTTAATCTATTAATTTATACATTCAAATAATAAAATTGCGCATTATTTTATACATATAATTATTATAAAATATTGTAACATGAGAATGGTTATAAAATTAATTAATATTAAATAAATTTGTATTAATTCATTAATTTATTAAATTTCATTATAAGATCCAATAAATATTTAAAATCTAAAAAATATTAATATTAATTGATTCATTTTATGTGTGATAGGATTTCCAAAGTACAAGTTGCCAATTTTGGATCCATTGTTCTATGGTAATAGCAAATACGTAATTAATAGAGGGGAAATATATGGAGAATTAAATGTATATAATGTCACTGTTGCCGGTATAAGGAAAACTCAATTCTTGACTGTAAGAATGTACATTCGTGATGACGGATATCATTTCGAAGTTGATGTTAAAGTACCAAGATTGATAATTGATGGTGATTCTAACGCCATAGGTAATTTAGGCGCAATTAGAATGGGTGGCAAAGGTACGAAAATAAACTTTAAATATATTTTAAATACTTTCAAGTAGTGTATAAGATCTCATTTATTATATTCACAAGAAAAAATTAATTACTTCACATATTTTATGAAATATTTGTAAAATTTGTTTCATCATTTATTTATTATATAAACCAACCAATAATTATTAGAACGTAAAATTGTAATAGTATACATAAATATATTTATGTGCACTTATATTATTCTTATTTATAATAATTAAATATTCTTTATCATTTTTCAACATAAAATATAATTTATGATGAAATATTCTTATATTAGGTTATCATAATTTCATTATTATAATTTCTTTGACATTTCTTTCTAGGACATTTTAATCTAACCCTAGAAAATGTTAAAGCTTCATTCTATGCAATAGGACACGCAGAACACGATAAATTAGTTTTGGAACATTTCCGAATAATTCCAATAGTTGAAAAACTGAAATTCCATTTAGACGATTTCTTTGAAGGCAATAAAGAATTTAGTAAGTATCAAATTATAATGAATATAGCTTCCATTTTCTTTTATTTTACTTTTTCAACACACTGAATAATTTTGATAAATTGCTAATCTAGTTTAATGTTCTAATGCATGTGCGTGTGTGCGTACATACGTGTGTACGTGCGCGCGTGCGTGTGTGTGTGCGTGTGTGTGTGTTCCGTAATTATATATTTGCCTGAAAATAGAAAAAATATTAATTTATCATGAGTCTCTTTTGCAATTAATTAAAAACTAGTGATATATTAAATATATTTATAATGTTTTTCCACATTGTCTGTATGTACGTGTCTTTATATATATATATGCAGGGTGTTCAAAAGGTCCCGGTACGAGGAAATAACTCGAAAAGTAAGGGTCGGACAAAGAAACTTTTCGGACAAAAGTTGTAGGGCTTACTCCGAGCTTTTATCTCGTGACCTTGAGTTTGACCTTGAGCTTGACCTTCAAGGTTATTTGAAGGTCAAAGTGTTTTTTTTTAATGGGAACCCCTATTTTTGATTGTATATTCTTATAGCTGACCTCGAGAACTTTCCAAAACACTATAATAAAATATTTTTCCCTCAAGCATTTATCGAGTTATGAGGCTTCAAATCATTTCTTAATTTTACATAAACCGTAAAATATCTTGTAAAATATTCACTTTTCGATTATTTTACCTTAATACTTTTATGTACAAAATAATGAGAGGAATCAATTGGTCTAAAAAAAAACACATAATTGTTCCGAAGAAAAAATATGTAATTTGCAATTAACAATTACATATTTTTTCTTAAAAACAACTATATGTTTTCTTTACATCAATTGATTCCTCTCATTATTTTGTACATAAAAGTATTAAGGTAAAATAATCGAAAAGTGAATATTTTACAAGATATTTTACGGTTTATGTAAAATTAAGAAATGATTTGAAGCCTCATAACTCGATAAATGCTTGAGGGAAAAATATTTTATTATAGTGTTTTGGAAAGCTCTCGAGGTCAGCTATAAGAATATACAATCAAAAATAGGTTCCCATTTAAAAAAAACACTTTGATCTTCAAATAACCTTGAAGGTCAAGCTCAAGGTCAAACTCAAGGTCACGAGATAAAAGCTCGGAGTAAGCCCTACAACTTTTGTCGGAAAAGTTTCTTTGTCCGACCCTTACTTTTCGAGTTATTCCCCCGTACCGGGACTTTTTGAACACCCTGTATATGTGTGTGTGTGTGTAATATCTAAATATCTTAATTATTGTATCTATTAATTTATGTATATTAGGCGGTCAAGACTGCACTATGAATGCTCCGAAACATCATTCTATCTTTATTCTCATGGAATGTAGAACAAAGATAGAATGATGTTTCAAAACATCCAGAACGTCTTTCCGACCGCAGCCTTAATCTGTATATCTTAATTATTTATGTTATATTATACATTATTTTTATCCACCTTTTTCGAGAAATTATTATTTATAAATTTTTTATTTTCAGATGATCTTGAAACTTTTGTGAATGAATTCTGGCCATCGTTATATCGAACGTTCATACCAGTACTGTTAGATGTATGGGATTCAGAATTTACTAATCTTGTCAATCATTTATTATCACATGTAACTATTTCGCAAATATTCCCATAAAAGTTATATATTAATATATTATACACAAATCAGATTTCCTCCCGCATAAAACTACATATAACATTTATTATCTTAACACATTACATATTACATTTATCATCTTAAACACTAAATACAAGAATAAGATTTTAGCATAATAAAAATTTAAAAAAATAAGAAGAAAGTAATAAAGAAAGATTTTTAATTTATTCATATAAAATATTATGCATTAAATGTTTTAAAATTATTATATATATATAGAATCTTACAAGAGGAATAGTATATATTTTGTGGAGTTGTAGTATCGATTATTCTGAAAAAAAAGTTCAAATAAACATGTATCATAATTGTCAATGCATATAGAAATATACTATTTAAAACTGCCACGTACAAAGTTATTATAAAAATAAAAACAGTAAATGACTTATTCTTTATATTTATTGACTATTTGTGACTCATATATAAAATATAAATAATTAACAAATAATTTACTATATGTGCTATTATCACACGAGTCGTAAAATTCATTAGGGTTAGTTATACGATTTTTGAATTAATTATTATTATTAATTAACTACAAATTATTTGTCAATTATTTTTGTTTTGTGTCATTCACAATCAATAAATACAAACAATATCATTTTTTAATACTTCTCACAATGGCTTTGTATACATTAGTTTGAAACGGCTGTATATCCGCACCGTTAACAATTAGACATGTTTATATGAACCTTTTTTACTGAAAATCGATCGCTCTTAAAATGTTGTAGTTTTATACCATTCAAGTAGTCAATAAATATAAACAATATGTCATTTATCATTCTTTAATATTTCTCATAAATTACTTGTATACACTTGTATTACTTGTATACACTAATTTGAAACAATTGTGCATCCATTGATAATTAGACATACGAGTATGTGAACCTTTATACTAAAAATAATCAATGTTATAATCTTTTAAAATATTAAATTTATTTTTTTTCCAAAATATCCTATACTATATAATATCCTATACTATATAATATATTATATAATTCTACTATGTAATATTCTGTATACTATGTAATATTTTGTATTATATAAACATAGGAACATATGTTTTGAAAGTCGCATTCAAAAAAGAAAAAAAAATTCAACAAAATTTTTGTAAAACTTGAAAAAATTTATAAAAAATAAATATTTTTTTATAAAACTATCTGCTTATACAGATGTATTTTTATATTATATTTTTTTATATTACACAGCATACCAAATAACTAATAAAATTCTGCAGCAGATTACACATATATAAATTATATAAATTAAACTTTAACAAATAAACTATTGGAAAAATTCTTAAAGTGTTATACCTTATGAAACATCCATTACTTATATCGAACTCTTAAAATTTTTATTTGATGATTTTTATATTTATAAATTTACAGAATCTACTTATAATCATTTTTAATGTGTCAGAAAAATAAATCAATATATTATTATGAATATATTATTTTATTATTTCAATATATTATTATTTCAATTATTTCACTATATCAATATATCAATTTATTATTATTTTATTATATCAATATATTATTATTAATATATTATTTTATTATTATATTATTTCAATATATTATTATTAATATATTATTTTCTAATCTTGAGATTCTTTTCCATTTATATTGATGTATGCTATTAACATATCATTGGCTGCGTTCAGCAGGAAAAAAATGCTGCTTTGCAACTGTTGTAAAATAAAATGAATCTGCGTGATCTTCAGATTTATAGAATTTATAATAGTGCAAAACAATTTTTTTTGTTGAATGTAACCGGTTATATGTCATTAGAAACATGCTGACCTTGAAAGAAGAAACTATATAATGCAATCATAATCGAATCAGATCAGCAGAAGCAACAAGATGATATTCTACGCTCTTATATTCAGTATTGTAACATCTGTCTTGTGTAGGACGGAAGAACTTACACTTCGTAAGCCTTATTTTTAAAAATTTTTTATATTTTAATGATATTCAAGAAAATAGCAAGAAAGTAAGAAAATAGCAAATAATTCTTTATTTCGCACTTGTAACATATAATTACATAATATAAAAATACGTTCTTCTTAAAAGATTTGATTTATATTTTTCTAACTATATTTGAATTATTTTATTCTAATCTCATTCTGTATTTTTTAACTGCTAACTATTTTATTTTTATTTTTATTTAGCTGTGACTACTTGCAAACGGAATTCAATTGACTATTCAACTTGTTTAAAAGTCGCATTAGAAGAATCATGGCCACGATTTCAAAAAGGTATATGTGTGTATGTCTATGAGTGTACATTTTGTTCTAAAATAATTAAAATTTTATTATTTTGATTTATATATATTTCTTTAGAAGATTGAAACATACGGTGAATTTTTATTTATAAAATATATTTCTTTCAATGATTATCAACTCATGTATACGTGTACATTTTTATTCCATTTTTATTCCATTTTTTAATAAAACAAATAAAAAGAATTTATATAGTTTATCTATATAAATAACATTTAGTTATTAAAAGATTGATACTAATGTTAGTTTATTTGTCTTAATAGGACTTCCAGAATTCGATTTCCCACGTTTGGAACCACTTTTTTATACAAACGGCAAATTTGTATTTAATAGAAATGGAATATCTGGAGAAGTAAACGTAATAAATGCTACTATTTTTGGTTTAGCAATTACTCGTTTCCTGGATGTGAGGCCGCACTTTTTAGATGATGTTTTTCGTTTGGAAATTGATACACTAATGCCGAAAGTATTTATTTATTCTTACGTTAGCGGAGAGGCTAATCTAGGCGAAATACGAGGATATGGCGCTGGTATGACAAAAAATTCATTGTAATTTGTATAAAGTACAATATATAAGAAGCGGAAAATTAATTCAAAAAGAACTTGCAACTATAGTAACAATTTTTTGTTAGCGTAAAATTTATTGAAATATATAAATTACTAGTCAATATTGTGATATCGCATATGTTTTGCATTTAATAAAAATCTAAATGACAGAGAGAGAATTTTTATCTACACTGTTAGAGAAAAAGAAAGTTTTTCTATTGCATATGCATATTCAAAAAAAAGTCTTACTATTGCATATGCATGTTAAGGATAATCATATTTGTCATAAAATTAGACTGTGATACACAGAAAAATTGTTGCTGACAAAGTTCTAATTGTAATATGGAAATTCATATCCTAATACAATAAATAATTTTTGACAATAAAATCTAAATTTGACAGAAGGTATTATTAGAATTTGTTGCTATAAATTCTATACATTTTACAAACAATGTTTTAGCAGGTATAAGAAAACTAGCTAAATTTTTGTATGATATCTAGAAATCTACTTCCATCATTAAACCATTTTTTTAAGTTTAATAAATATATCCGTACTTATAATGACAAAAAATTAATCATATTGTTACGCCCGGAGGACTTCGAGGACTTCGATAAATATCGAAGCGCGAATTAGCGGACTATTGGCACTCACGGATCGCGTAATAACAAGACTTTTAGAGAACACAGAAGCTTTAATCAGGAAAGCACGCAGAATATACTCAAATAATTAATATTCACAAGAGAAATCACAAAATAACGGCTCGTGTTATAAAGCGTGTCTGTATAGCTTGACAGTTATTTTCTGACTCAGTTGACCATTGTTGTTTGTTAATAATCTTCTTAACTACGGAATCCGGACAACGGCAGGGCCCTAATGATTCGGAAGCGTAACAATATCAAATTAAACGATCTAATTACAGTTATTTTTAAATAGATAATTATATTGCTTAATTATATATTTTTATGTTTATCCTGACTATTGTTACTTTTTAATTAGAAATTATAGTATAATGTATAACACTTCTTTGTAATCTATATAACAGGACAACTCGATATAATAATGAATGGAAACAACGTAACATGGGATATTACAGGACACATAAAAAATGATACATGGACTATAGAACATTTCCAATATATTATAACAATTGGAAGATTAAAGGTTCAGCTCATTGATTTCTTTGACGGCAATAAAGAATTAAGTAAGTATTAAATTAAATACATCTTTCTATTTTTCTATCTTTCTAGTACAAATCTCAAATTATTTTAGTAAAAATGCTTATTTGATCTAATATTCGAGCATATAATTATTGATAATAACATCTATGAAAAATTCATGAAAATAGTACTAATAGTACTAATTCATGAAAATAGTACTAATAGTACTAATTTATCGTTAATTCTTTTTATAATTTATTAAGAATTAATTCGTATAATCTACATATATATTTATAGTTAGAAATAATTTCACATAATAACTAACCTAAATTGTAAGACATTTTAAAGTAATAAAAAAATAAATAAAAATAAATAAAAATAAAAATATTAACCATATAATTAAATGATACAAAAGTAATAAGGATTTTTTTCTATGGACGGCATATTTTAATATAAATTATATTTTTAAATGTGTATTAAATATTTTTAAGTATATATATATATATATATATATATATATATATATATATACTTAATATATATATATATATATATATATATATATATATCTGAGAAGACGCGCGTCTCTCCACACACACAAACTTGAATTATCTTGATGCATTATAAAATTTGAATTTTTAAATAAATTTTTAAATTATATATATATATATATATATATATATATATATATATATAATAAAAACTTTTTTATCATAATTATCATTTTAACATACCTTAATATAAGATATTTTTTTAAAATTAATAATTTTTTACATAAGATAAAATAAGCAGAACTTAGAAAGTGTTTTAACAATCATCAAGTTAATTTTAAATTTATTTTAATTAAAAATATACCACATCATAACATAATTTCAATATAGAAATTTATAATGAAAATAAATTCCAATTAATTTATATATTTGCTTACTCTCTAGCTATATTATGATTTTATTTTTATTCGCTTTTGTATGTTAGAAAAGTGTTATTAATAAATTTTTATTTGCAGCTGATGTTTTTGAAGCTTTTGTAAACAAACACTGGCCATCGATTTATCCACAATTAGCGCCAACAATATTAGAAGTAACGGACTCGTTGTTGACTGACTTAGCCAATCGTCTTTTCTCGAAAGTTTCATTCTCTAAAGTATTCCCATAAAATTCATATATTTGTTACATGTTAAGAAATACCAGACTTTATATGAAATATATATTTAATATCTTAAACACTAAAATTGAAGAATTATTAAGCAAAAACATCTTATTCCTTAATATTTTCTTATTTTTTAGTATATTTTATCTATATGTCGTGTATAAATTCTTAATTTAAGCAATAAGTATTAAAATTGTTAATTAAATATTAAAATTGTTAATTAAATATTAAAAAATCACTGAAGTTATGTATGTTAACGGAATATATTATTTAATTAAATCTTGTAACTTTTTATGCTAATTAACAAAAAATAGGAAATGTAATAATATATTTAAAAACAATTTGTTTCAAAAGAAATAATGTACAAATATTTTTTATTTTGAGAGAGAGAAATTATAAAAATAAAATATATTTTTCTTAATTATATCTCGATGAATCTTAACTCAAGGTTTTTTTTTGCCATTCACGTATCTAACACGCATTAATAAACTGACTATGACTTCATCATGTCTAAAAAAACCTTGAAATCAGAATCTATATAAAGCTAGCGTTCAGAACCAGTCGAACTATTCGCAAGAAAACTGAGTAAATAAGATGATATTTTATACGTTTAGTGTAATTAGTGCTGTAGCAGTTGGATTATGCATAGCAGAAGAACTTCGTAAGTTGAGTATGAATATGTTTAAACTTATGTTTTCAGTAAGGTTTTTTGTAAAAATCTTTTATATTTAATAATTATATTTTTAATAATTATATTTAATAATTATTTTTTTTATATTTTATATTTAATAATTATACATTTGCGAATATTGATGCTTTATATATTTCTATAAAAATTCTATATATTCCTATATATATTCCTATATTCCTAAATTCTATATATTCCTATAAAAAAATTAATAAAAATTTGTATAAACTGATATCAATGATTCTTAAATAGCACGTATTTCTCAAGAAAACAGATAAAAAAAGAATTAGCATTACCGGAATTGTATATATGTTGTGATCGAGTTTACTAGAATATATGAAATAATATCTGCAATAATTATTCTTACTTATTACTATAAAAAATTACTTGTTGAACACACGATAAATTTTTCTAAATAAAAAAAATTATATAATCATACACTAATATTCGCGAACTCTCATTTATGTTCGTAGCGTGCATTTGCATGAATATTGCAACACACGGACGCGTGAAACAATAATATTTATTAATATTTATTAATTTATAATTAATAATAATAATAAAGAAGAATAAAATAAAATTTTTCACTTTGTGTTTACTATATGCACTTAATAATAGATTTGCTTCAATTATGTCTCACTCACTCACACACACACACACACACACACACGCGCACACACACACACACACACACACACACAAAATTATTTATTGTTTAAAGTATATATAATTCATATAGCTTTATATAATACAATTTTTATTTTCAGCTGTAACTATCTGCAAGCGAAATTCTCCCAACTATTCCAATTGCTTAAAACTTGCAATAGAAGAAGCATGGCCACGATTTGTTAAAGGTATTTTTCTTAAATTAGTTATATCATTTTAATTTATACTAAACTTATTTAAAACTACAATTAAAGTTAAAATGCAATACATTTATTACAAAATAGTTACATATTGTACATTATTTTATACATGATTATTGTAAAATATTGCAATATTAAACATATTTATAAGGCTTATTATTATTGCAATTATATATAAAAATAAATTTCCATAAATTTATATATCTAAAATTTATTTATTTAAAATAAAAAAGATTTAAAATTTTTTAATCAATCCATGTTTGTATATTAAAAAATTAGTACTAATACTAATTCTTTTATCTTAATAGGACTTCCAGAATTTGACTTTCCATCTTTGGATCCATTATCTTACGAATACGGCGAATTTGAATTTCAGAGAAACGAGATATATGGAAGAATAAACCTGTCAAATGTTATTACTAAAGGTTTAACGAATATTAGTTTTTTATCTGTGAAACCGCATTTCCTCGATGATGGCTTTCGTTTGGAAATTGATACAAATGTACCAAAAATGTTTATCAAAGGTAATTGCAAGGCAGAAGGTAAAGTAGGCGGATTTCAAATGGGTGGAAAAGGTACGAAAATAAATCTCTTTATGACAGAAAAGTAATAAATAAATCTATTTATGGCAAAAAATTAATTATATGTCAAATTATTATTCAACGAAAAATAATTAAAATTTCTATCATGATTTTATGATTATGAACCAAATGAAAATAATTGTAGCAATTACATTAGATTATAATATTATATAAATGCATGAGATTATATACTTCTAATATAATTAATAATTATCGATTTAAAATTAACTATTCTTAATTATTATATAATGCGTAATAAATATAATATAATATAGCATATAATATAATATAGCATATTATATAATATAGCATATTATATAATGCGTAATAAGTTATAACTTCTTAATAATTATTTTGAAGACTATAATTACAAATATATTACAAAATTATATTAGTATACATATAAGTTCTATAATATCATACATCATCGTTATAATTTATTTTTGTCATTGTTAAAATTTAGGACGCTTTAATCTGACATTAGAAAATATCAGAGGAACATGGGATTTAATAGGGAACGTAACAAATGATAGGTGGACTGTAGAACGTTTCCATTTCATGCCATCAGTTGGAAATATGAAAATCCATTTTGACGATTTATTTAATGGCAATGAAGAACTTAGTAAGTAAATTTTTCACACACACACACACACGCATGTACACATATAGTTTCCTATTCTTTCACTTTTTTAAATGCATTTACAATTGACACATTATCGTATTAACATATTATCTTTTTTCTCTCTCTATTTTTTTCAAAATATATAATTACATATAAATTTGCAGATAATATTGCTATGCTTTTTGTGAACGAATATTGGCCAATTTTATATCGAGCAATGTTACCAATAACATCTGTAAAATGGGATCCATGGTTAGCCGATACAGCTAATCGCTTTTTTTCGAAGGTTTCCTTCTCGAAATTATTTCCATAATATTCTCGCATTTGCCTTCAGCATATCTTAAGGATAAAATGTCAGATTTTGTATAGAATTTGAAACGTATATTAGTATAGAATTAAAACATAGATTTAGATTCGTAGAGATAAACATATACTACCAATAAATAATAGATTAACTACTGAATTTTAACGCCTACACATATATGCTTCATTTATTTGACAACATTAATTTTTTAATTAATTTATTTAACTTTTGTTCAATTTTCTTTAAAATTTTGATTTGCAACTTTAACACATGGATTTCAATTACGTAAATTTGTTTTGACAACTCTTTCCTTTAATTTCGCGAAATGGACTTTTCTGGAAGATAAAGATTAAGAATATTGATCTCTTGCAACTTCAGCAAAGAGTGCTGCATTCGGTGTCGTGTTTGTCGTATCTATACGCTTGCGCTATTTCCTTCTCCTCGTAAGGATTAATTGGTCGCAAACAGAGATCGTGCGAAACTTTGCTCGTTCAATTTACACTCGAGATCCGACATGTATACGAACGCGGATGCGGTCATGCAATTTTCCACCACGACAGGAAATCAAGATCTCTTTCGAGTATATTATAATTTCTCCCTTCCTCTCTTCTGAATGCGGCTATATCTTCAGAAAAAATCGAAGAAATAAAAGTGGAAAAAAAGCATGTGAGAAAGATAGAAATGAAGAAGTACGGACTTTGTTGCGGACGAAAAGTCAAGAGGAGAAAGTTGAAATACGCGCCAAGAGCACGGGAAGTTGTCAAACTTTCGCATCAGGGAATTCTTTCCGAGCTCCTTGGAATATCCGTAATAAAGTTATAAACTTTTAGGAAAGGCCACGCCATCTTCGTTATATAACTGCTTACTCTCAGTTCCTCGTAGTGCACAATGACCGAACTAAATTTCCCTTTTTTTCGAAACTTAGTGACTGAATCTATGACTCGGTGAATAAGTTTCTATAGTTTTTTACAAACTGTAATCTTCTGTTTAATTACGTTTGTTTTAATACTTGAAAAAAAAATGCCTGAGAAGATTATTAAAGCTTCTCTCCTTTATATGTCACTTTATTCTATGCACATATATGTGTGTATGTATATATTTATGTATTTAGTCTTATATATAATAGATTAACATGTGAAAAACAAATCAACACTCATCAATATAACAGTGGAGAATTGCACAAATTACATTGAACAGAAAAATACAAATGTATATAATAATCTAACAATTATATATATATATATATATATATATATATATATATATAATCTGAATTTTATAATTATAAATTATATAAAATAATTAATCTTTATTTCGGAAAATAGTTATTATCCATTAAATTTTTTGTCTGTAATATTTATTAAAAAAACAATTTCCAAAAGAAGTTTTGATTTAAAATCATCTCATAAATTTGATAAATAAAAATCTAATTCTCTCCTACGTAAATAATTTGAATAAATAGAAATTTTATACACACATATATATAATATAGAATATTATACAATATATGTAATAATATATAATAATAAAATATAATATTATAAATATATTATATTTTAAATAAATCATAAATATTTACCTGTGATTACACTGCTGTTACTCGATGTCACCTTAGACCTCCTCTTTTCCTCTTATATTTGTCCTTTGTTGCTTCTTCACGGCACTCACTTATGAAAATATGATTTAATTATGATCAAGCGCGCACTAATCAGTAAAATGTGATGATCGTGTGGTATTTTGCACTCCCGACGTTAATCACACACGACGCGCACTTTATTATATATACTGCAAAAAGAGAACAACAAATAAACTCTCGTCACATACACATTTTGATAAATTAGAACAATGTATAAATATCAAATTTATATGTCATATATGTGTTATATATGTGTCTAAGTATGAGGTTAATAACGACTGTATTTATTGATTAAAAACATCGCAAAGTCACTCGATCGAAATTCATTCTATATCGACGGTTTAATAGCCGAAAAATTACATTAATAATTTAGACCTATATCGCGCAATATCAAACAAACTAAATTAATGACTAGCTAAGACACGATGGATTCTCCGAACCTCTTCGAAATTTAGTATTGTGATTCAATTCAAGTACGCATAATATAATTCAAAACACTAAGAAGTAAATATATTTATTAATGATTAATATATAAGGTGTTCCATGACTGAAGGTCCATTCTTTAAGGGCGTATTGTTGATGCTATTTAGAGTAAAAAAAGTCTAATAAACATACATATGTCCGCAAATGCTTCCTAACAGTGCATGAAGTCGATGGTTTATGCGAAACAATCTCACAATAGGGATGAACTTATTAACAGATATTATGGATGCGGCAACACAAATCAGAAATTCTCCTGGAATGGTGAAGCAAACTGTTATCATTTTTACGCAGACAAGATTTTGTATTGAATCTACAGGATGTCATTTTGAACAGAATTTGTAAATGAACAAATTAAATTAAATGTCTTTCTTTTCTTTTTTAAATGTCTTTCTTTTGTTAAATATTCAACTTTCAATAATTGTATTTCTGTTAGAAAGCATTTGCGGACATTAGTTTATTAGACTTTTTTTACTCTAAATGGCATCAGCAACACGCCCTTAAAGTATGGACCTTCAGTCATGGGACACTCTGTATATCCACTCTAAAGTCTCGGCAGAAAAAAAGTTCAAAACACGATAAGTTATATTCGGTTAATTAAGCATTAAAGAAATATAATTGTTACTTCAAATATTGAAATAAGATAATTTATATTTATAATTATGTTATTCTTATTACTTCCATTCTATTATTTCTATTTCTATTTTAGATTGAATAAGTGAAGTGAAATATCTACTTATATAAATCGAAAAAAGGCCTTGAATTTACGAACAATAAATTTATATAATTAATCGCTAATTGTAATGTATGAAGGATATCCAGTTCCGAAATGTAATGATAACACGGAGCGTCACGCACCACTGCCTTCCTAGTCGAGTCTCGCCACGCGAATGTCAAGGTGGCCGCGTGTAAACAATAGCGTACGTCGCAGGAAACGAAAGCAAAATCATGTCATATATAACTAAATTATTACCAATACAAAATATTTTACGCATTATAAAATAAAGTTACTCTCTAAAAGTGAATCAGTGAAAATATCACTAATTTAAATAGTAAAATAAGATTTCACTGAGAATCAGTGAGTATTTTACTAATTTTCAGTGGAAACGCTTATTTTTTTGTTATTTTATCTTATATCTCACTGATTATGGTCAGTTAAAATAAATTCAGTCAGTCAGTTAAAATAAATTAAATCCACTATAAAACCAGTAAATTTCACTGTAAAACCAGTAATCGCTAGTTCGTTCGTTTACCGCTATGATTGCTATCTTCCTCGTATTTAATTTTAGTCATAAGAATTATATAAAGTTTGGAAAGAGCGATAGATAAAATTAGAAGTATTACTTCGATTTAATTTCTGATGCAATCTCAATAGAGAGGCTTCAGATAAAAAAATTATTAAATCAATCTTATATAAGTCGGAATAAATAAATGTCTGACGACTTAATGAAAATTATGAAGAGATGAATTATAATTTAATATTACTGACGATAGAAAGAAATATTACTGATACTGAGAAATATTACTGATTGAAACAGTCAAAATTATTAACTGATTCTTTCAATAAAATATCACTGATTTAGTGCTGTACTTATAACTGCTGTAATCAGTGACTATTTATTGTTTTTCAGTGATAATATACTGATTCACTTTTAGAGAGTACAGAATGTTCTATTATTTGCATTATTTTAGCTAATTATTAATTAATCGTATAATTTCCCGTTACTTGAATCAGTCGATTTTGTGAATCGTTTTCCGCTATCTCAATTCAAAAATAATTAATAACTTATATTTAAATCGGCAAAAATTTAAAACACGATACAAGATATATGTGTGTGTGTGTATTTGTGTGTGTGTGTGTGTGTATGTGTGTGTAGGAAGAACGCGGGATATTATAGAGAAGAGAGAATTTTATTAATATTTCGATTACAGAGGTTCGATTCCTCGCAGATCTCAGTCACGACTGACTTTTCGGTTCGCAAATTCTACCCCGTCTTTTAGGTCTCATACGTGGCCCAATCGGCTCACGACACGTTCGGCTATACCCTTAGAACGATCAACTGTCGCGAACATTCGAGATCAAAACAAAGATAATAAAAACGATGTATTACAATAATAGAGTTAGAGGAGCGCAAACATAATTCGAAAATAACGATTTAACACGATTGTGGCAAATCCTTCTCTACATATATTTGTAAAAAAAACTATTTTTATACTAATTTTATACTAAAGAAGATGAACGAAAGCTTGCTATAGAAGATCGCCAAGATAGAAGATTTTTACTGATAATTAACATATATGTATCTTCACATATGAAGATTAACCATGATAAACTATCTTTTCGTTTCTCTGCGCAGTCCTTGTCCTTCTTGGCTTCTCCAATGTCTTTTGTTATAATGAAGCCACCTATGGCTCACCTAAAATATCGTCAAATATATATCGTCAGAGAAGCATTGCTATATTTTAAACATGTTTGAATTAAAACGTCATTGAAAAAATAATTATCGCTTATAAAAATCTTAATAAAATAATAATTTATAATTCTCTATCTCTTCGATTTTTATTTGAAACATAATATGTAATATAAAATCCATTTTAATTTTTGAGAAATGTGCAATATTTTATAATTATTACAATCAATAATTAATGTTACTGTGATAAAATTCAAAAATAATAATTTTTTAAAAATATTTAATAATCTCTGAAATTATCGGGATCGGAGCGATATTTGGAGTCAGTTTCTTGTCACATAAGTATGTTTGGACATTCATAATGTCGAATATCTATATATACATATTTATGACACAGGTTTCTTTCGGAATTTTGACTTATCTTAATTCAAATTTTAATTTTGCCAGTACTTTTCTGCTATTGGATATTTAAACTTACTTGTACATATTTATATAACAACAAGCTCTCGAAATTTCCTATTTCAATTTCGACACGGTTGAACTTAACCGCTTCGAATTTTCAGATTCATAATTTTGGATATTCGCATGCTTAATGATCATATTTTTACAATAATTTAACTATCTGATAATTATTCAATTTTGCAATGCAGTCAAAGTGAATCATTTGAGTTTTCGAAAATACGTGTTTTCATCGTTCGTATTTTAATAAAATATCACATCCGCATAATTACATGATTTGTATACGAAATTTGTCGAATTTATAATCTTATTTTGAATATTAATACAAAAACAACGCTTAAATTTACTAAAAACATATTTTAAATTAACTAAAATAAAATGTATATATTTAAGACATAGTATCAATATTTAATAATTATTTTTATAATAATTATATTATACTGATTTTTCAAATAATTATAATAGCAAAAGATTATTTCTCAACAATATATTGATTGAGCAAAATGATTTGCAATTAACACATATTTTAATATCTAACATTTCTATAATGCGCACGCACATTTCAAGCCAAATATTAAAACTTATAAGACGAGTGGTGCACAATAATGATTCAAGAAAAATTTGATGTAGATAAATACAGAATAAAATTTTCAAATTTTTAGAAAAATCTATCCATACATGTGTGATGTATACCAAGTGTGTAAAAAGATATAAATTTTCAGTTGAAAGTTAATATCAAACTTTTACGCGACCTCATATGACTTCGAATTTTATACACCTAAAATGCTTGAAGAGAAAAAGAGAAGAAATATTAGTCTTAGTGGAAATCATACATCTTCACTTTATGTATAGAAAAATCGGTACGGACAAAGTTACGAATTTCTGCACGAACAGCAACCTACCACCATCAATTTTCACTGCGACTGAGCGACTTCAAAAATTTCAAAGTTCTCAGAATGATTTGCCATCAGTAAAAACTTACACAATCGATTTGTCGATCGACAATATACAGTTCCATGAAATTACAAATCTTCATTCGGATGCTAATTTATTTTATTTATTCATGCTATTATCAAGATTTTTATTCTTTTTTTTTTAAATGAGTAAATCATAGATTGTTGTAACAAAAAAATTATTATATACATAAAATTGAAATTATTAATAATTATTGTGCAGTATCATAACACGAAAGTTAAACTCATATAAACCGTTAGATTTATTCAACGTAAAGCATACAATTTCTTATGTATATAATAAATTTTTTGTTATAATCGATTTATTCATTTTTTAGAAACAAAGTACAAAACAATTATAAAAACATACATATATACATTTAATATGTTTGTAAATAGTTTTCATCGTGTAAATTCAATGTAACAACTCTAGCTCGTATTGCATCGCATTCGACAAGCGAGGCTCAGATTGACAAGACCGATACTCCGCCGTGATGGAAACCGTCAAGTTCCGCCACGTAACTGAATAAATCACAAATACACGACTACCTGTAGAGACTTGTGTTAATACCCGCTATGCGTGACAAGGTGCAATTAATCCGTAATAAGTGCGATTAATTTAAAGTAGTTTTCTCTGCCATCAACTGAATTAAATTTAACGCGATTTATCATCACTGACGGAAAAAATAATAAAGACAGAGATCGAGAGAAGCAAAAGAGAATTTCCTGTTCTCTTCATCGAACATGGCCAGACTGCAAAACCAGAATACAAAATTATATTTATAGATGAAAACATCGATCGTGTCAGCCAGCGAAGTTGGTAGACGCGTGAATCTTAATTTGCCAGGTTAGTCCCCCTAGACAGACGATACTTCTACGTGCATTTAACGAACATTTATATAAGACACGTTCTGCTGACACGGTATCCCATTCACTTTTCGAAGAGTTAATTCGATTGAATGACATTAGAATTTTGTAGCGTAACGTTTACAAAAAAATTTTAGTAGTTTAACATAATTTTTTAATTAAACTTTTTCAATAAAATTTAATTGCAATTACTGTATAAAATGTAAAATAAAGAGAAACAAAGCACAACTTATACTATCAATGATTGTCGCTTTTGTACTTAATTAAGTAATTTAAAATAATTTTTAATCAAAAAATTCAGCAAAAAATATAAATATAAAATCTTACGCATAATTACTATAAGAAATGTAAAATAAAGAGGAACAATTCACAGCTTCCGCAGCGTGTGCGTTACTTATAAATGTAGGTTACATATGATCTATTTTCTGTCTCAAAATCGCCAAATGACATCAAATGGTTATCGCTCTATGCTTAACTAACCCAATCTTTTCGATCTCTTGACGAGCATCATTCTTAGTGACTCGGACTGTTCGTTCTCTTTGAATTCTTGGTAGCGCAGAACGACAGTTAAAGAATTACGAAAAAAGAAATGCCGACACCACAGCAGCGTTCGGTCGTAACGGTTGGGCGGAGTAACGTCACGAAAGCTTCGCCTGCACGGCATGGCTAATTAATCAAGCTTTTATAGTCGTCGTCCTCGGTTGAGCCCTCGACCACCGTCCAGTTTGCCGCCCTCTCTTTCCTCTTCGCTCTTTCCACCGAGCGGTCCACCGTCAGTCCATCTCGCTCCTGAACTCACGCTTGATCTCTCATGGACCATCGACGGAAGGAGGTCGGCGAACACGCCATTTACCTTTGTACCACTCGTCGCGTTGCTCGTGCGATCGTGCAAGCGCATAAATTATTCATGTCGCGATTAATGCGGTTAAATATTTAGGTACTCCGTTATTCTTTCACTTTAGCACGTCGCGCCTCTGTAGGTGCCAAGCGAGGATTATCACGCGCTGCCGCCTCGCGCAAACAAATTTTCGCGAAGAGTCGTCTCGACTGCACAGCCGCCAACGGCGTTCTTAATTGGTGCTAATTGGGCGGTTATACATTAAACGCAGGGACGTCGCGCTTTCTCTCGCGCGTGAAGAGGGTCACCAATGGCATTTTTTGCGTGTTACGTTGAGTACATAAACGCGTAAAAATACTTTCTCTAATACTTCAAATGTATTATTTGTTAAATGTATTTCTGTTATTTCTACAGATTTTCTCTCGCGCGCTTTCCCTATATAAATTATATAATCAAGTATATAAAATGTTATTAAATTAAAATCTTATAAAATTAAAATAATAAAATATAATGTAAAATTTGTTTATGGTATCTCTTTCGCGAATATTCTATTATAATTGATCATTCTCTGAAATTGATTATTGAATGCGTTGCTGATATTTAATAAATAATGGTCTGCTTTATACGACAAGCGCGTACACACATATCAATCTCTCACTATTACAAATCATCGTACAGCCTCAATGTTCCGCAGGTATCTTGGAAGACGTGCATGATATACATAAGCGCAAACAGCTACGTGAACACGGGATAGATGGGCTGCACGTTGTGGCAGGGATATTCTCGGGAAATTCACCATTTTTAAGCTTATCCATGGTACTTATTTCTCGGGAGATACGGGAGGCCCAGAGTTTCATCCTGGCAGCAAGCGGAAGGATACAAAACGAGCGCGAGCTCGCCGGCGTAAAGGATGAACGTGTTTTCCAGCTGTAGGGACGAGATATGTTCTTGGAAAATCGGTGACCACTTTAGAACGAGGCAAACATGATTATCGGTATTATCCTGCGATTTATTACAACCGAATATTGATTTAAATTATAAAATCCAACATCTTTATATTTTCTCGACATATTATTCTTTATAAAGAAAAATATTGTCTATAATTTTATCTTTTCTTATTTTTACTTCGAGCAATGTTTGAGCAACGCACGAAGTATTCAAAATTTAATATATAAATGTATATAATAAAAATGCACACTTCTATGTCTTTATATGCTTTTGATATAAAGATTTATAAGCAATGATATATAGTAATAATTTTATAATTCCTTTATATTTTATTGCAATTAATCAAAAGTATACTAAACAGGCAAGATACGCCCCCGTAAGGAATATCAGGGCAATTTTTTTACGAAAGAAATTTCGATAATTTGTTCAGGAATTGTTTTTAAATATTTTAATAAAATTTTAATAAACATATATATAGATATATATATAAAATTAACATATCTATCACAAATCATATAAAATGTTCTTGTTATCTTTAAAATAATAATCGTATATAATTTCGTACATAATTATTATATTAACATATTTTACAAAATTAATACTTGATATTATTAACATATTTATATTGCAAAATATGTAACTTACATGTGAAAGCTACTTGTAAATTTATTCGAGAGAGAGAGAGAGAGAGAGAGAGAGAAAGAGAGAGAGAGAGAGAAACGCAATATAATATTATCTACAATTTTTCTGAATTATTAATTCAAGATTACATCTATTATTATTGTTTCTATACACAATTTATCTTATTGCTAGAAACTATAATATTTGATACATATTATAACATATATTATATGATATATAATAATATGTGAATCAAATCGATTTCGAACATTTTATTTCAATCATAACAGTCACACACGTATTTCACCGAAAAATAAAACTTTGTTCTACAGTTTGTCTTTTTTTTTTATTCTCATTCTTCACATCGTGACCTCCTTGTGCAGATAACCTTTACAGTAGTTTTTCGACTTGCTGTGCACGTTCGATACTGTGGTAGTCCGACAAATTTATATGGAGCACATTCATTTTCACAAATAAATTTGCTATTGTATCTTTTTCCATTTCCATTTCTCTACAAGAAAGTTATAATAACATTATCTATTTATAGTAAATGAGAAATGAGTTTCAAAACAAAAGAAATGTTTTCAATTTTTGATTAAAAAGAGATTACTTTTAATTATAAATTACTACCTTCAAATATCACATTAATACTATTTGCATGTCTAGTTTTTTTTAATATGTTATTTAATACATGTCCCAAGAATGTTGTTTATCTTGAACTGTGTGAAAAACCATCGAGAGAAATTGTTCGTACGTGCGAAAGTGCGATCTTGGATGACCACGTGGGTCATAAAAATCTGACGTAAAAATTAGGATTGCCTTAGGGAGTAATGTGAAGGGGTCTGTAAGTTTATGTTTCGAAACCCTCTACGGTTGTAAAAGGCTTCGAGAAATAGATGTTAAATCTTCAGGGAAAATCGTACATGTTCGATTATAAGTTATATAGCAAGAACTCGATATGATTTTCTTTATTAATAAACTTACAAAAATTTAAAATTATATTATTTAATTAAATCAATTAATTATATTGTTTAAATATAATTTATATTGTTTAAATCAATATAATTCAGAATATATATTATAAAATTAATTAATTATAAAAAATATATAAGAGAAGAATTTATATAATTACAATTACATACTCCCTCCTTAAAGCAAACAAACGGAATTCTTCATGTTAATAAAATTGCAGTCTAAGAGTTACACACAGAGTAATAACAATTAATATAATGAATAAGAAAACGCGAAGGAAAACCAGTATCTTTCATGTTTGATATGTCTGGTTACAACGACGTCTAGATTAAATTTCTCGCGCATTGACATTGCAACAAAGCGGATATATCTTTGTGCAATGTATAACATTACTTTGAATGGTGAAACTCGCAAAGAACATCCCACCAGAGACATCTGAATATTCACATATCATCTCTTCGCTATTGTAGCTTTTATTTGCACTTCACATTTTCTTTTATTCCGTTACGAGCAGTTCCGGGAAGACCACAGTACTAAATCATAGAATAGCGAAACTGATGAAATGCATTTCAAAATGTGGCCCTAGAGAAAAGTGAGACGACATTATCTCGAATCGATATTTTCAATATAATATACCAGGCACACACAACGAATTGCTCGATATTTATGTAAAAATTTTCCGTTTGACATACATCACAAAGTCAATTTCTCTCCTTTTTCTTTTACGTTTGTCTTAAACTATATATAACACTACTATAAAATATGGCAACTTATGATAGATATTGTGGATTTAATACATCATTTATTCTCATAATCATATTGGATTATTCTTTTACTTTATTAATCTATAATTATATTTTAAAAAAATAATTAATGATTTTAATGGCACATTTAGTATTAACTTAATCGTGAGTCAAAATTCATCTTTTATTGAAATGGAGATCTTATAACAAGTGACAATAATGGATGCAATTAGAAGTCAATAAAATTCCAAATTAAGATTTCAATTAAAATATTTATATATACATATAAAAAAAATTAAAAAATAAATAAATAAGCAGATAAGATAAAAAAACACATGCCACACAAAAAATTATATGATAGTATAAAAAAAACTACTTTTTAATGATGAGAAAAATTAATAATGCAAATTTGAAGATGTAAAAATGTAATAGAAAGTGAGTTTTTCATTCAAAATGTCATTTGATCTCTTTTGTTTTTTGAAAAAAAATTTAAGTTACATTGTATTAAATGGAACAGACTATATAATGATAAACATTAGAAAGAATATTCGCATACGAATTGTCATTCTCCAAATTATATTTAATACAATCAAAAGATATTAATAACATCAAGCGTTAATTGAAGTATATATAAATACTTAATCTAATTTTAATTAACTTCTGAAAGATTTGATCATCGTAGCCATGGACGAACGGACAAGGCTCAATCGAGACAACGTATCTCGAATAAAGAAATAGTTTAACAGTTAACATCGCCAAAGTAATAAAATTTAAAATATCCGCACATATTGCGAATGACGTAATTCCATGACGCGTCGTCGGTTTTACGTTCACTATCGATTCACCGGAACAAACGCATTAACCACGAACCGCGAACCGCCTTAGTCTCAAAGGAGCAATGTGGCTACCGCACTCTACTAATGCAAAACCCTCCACCGCTGTCCCGTGGCCTTCTCTCTCTATCACAAGTATGCGCGTATCGTCCGACCCTTTTCCAAGCCCTTTCTCCCCACCGCATGGTCCCTTGCACTTCATCGAGGGCTCGCGGCTCCTAAATTTCCTACCCTTTAGTAATAATATATCTGTCCCTTGGGTGTCGCTGAGAAAAGGCCACCAACCCAAAGACCCCACGTGCGACTATTATCTTATATACATATAACCAAGCTCTCGAGTTTCCTCTCGAGCAATTCTCGCGACGTATCTTCGGACGTATCTTTTTAAGATTGCACATCACCGGAAACAAGCTCCAGTGCGCCTTTACGCCCAGCTTGCGCCGGTGCCTTTTGAAGGATTTACCGAATGATGCGCAGACAGAAACGAAACCCCTTGAAAGTACAAGGAGAAAAGAAGAAACGAAGGTTAGCGGAAATTGGAAAGAATGAGTTAACGAAAGAATGAGTCTTTAAATCGATTAAATGTCTTTCAAAACGTTAAAGGTTTCCGGCTTCTTGAACCTCGCACAAGACATTTTAGTTTTATTATACTTACTTTATCGTTTATTGAATAGAACACGATACTTCTTGAACTATTGACCTGTCTCTGACACCAGCAATCTCAACTATCCAAAATCACTTTACTCATATTGTCTTATATTGAAAATAATTTTATATTCGTGATTTTTATAAAAAAAAAAATAAAAACTCAACATTCAGGTAAATATTTATCTGAAAAATTTGAATAATATTGAATAAAATTGTGCAAAATTCCAAATAATTATCTTTTAAAGATAAATTATATTAAAAAATTTATAAATATTCAACTGCTTTAACTGTAACAAAACGCGAACACGAAATAAATTATTCTTTTAAGTATTTTTGATGAAATATTTTCTTATATCTGGAAGATGATATTTTATTATAAAAATGGCGTTGTAAATTTAATATTTTGTTTGCTAATTTACCAAACAAACTGTTGTACAATGTGTTTAAAAACAGCGTGCTTTTTTAGAAATTGCTGTTAGCCATTTGCATTTTAAATATGTTGACAAAAGAAATATCTAACAATTAGCACGCAGAGCAAGAACATTTGTGACCCTTTTGCATTTTACTACTACACGAAAAAAGTCTCTTGGGAAAAGTTAAAAAGAGTTGTCCTGACATGTCAAGACAATCTGAAGTTTTGGTTAAATAAATATTTTACGAAATATGAATTCTTTCTTACATTCTAAAGACCCGTAATATGGCAAAATGTAAAAGCCGTTGATCTTTGATATGTGCCTTTCTCTCTCCTTCTCCTGCTCCTTCCTCTCAATCTCTCTCTCTTTTTTATTAAATATCTCCTTCCATCGTTCATTTTACTGAAAATCTCCTGAAAATCTAACAAGAATAAAAAAAAGGCAATCGAACATTTCTATAGCATTTTATTTACAACAAATTAATATTTCAGTTTAATAATATTTTAAAATTCGATTAATAATTTTTCAAACAATAATTTATAAAGAAAAAGTTTGTCATAAAATCTATAACTGTTTTCAGAAAAAGATTAAAATTAATTTATAATTATTATTGGGAAATATATTATTACTGTAATATAATTGCAAATTTTATTAAGTGATATTTACAAAAATCCAATGTTTTAATAAAATATAAATTTAATATGAATTAGGATTTAAGACAATAATCGTAAAAAATATGAAAGAAAATCAAAGAAAATTTAATAAATTTTTCTTACAAGTAATAATTTCTGCTTATTATATTATTTAACAGTTTCACCT